AAATGCAAGTTTTTACAGACGAATCTCCAGCTAGCGTGGCCGTGATGAACTCTAGCTCAAGTCCCTTCACTGCTGTCAACATGACTCAAGAAATTGTAATGACACGATTGCAAACAAACCATACCCCCGGCCGGGATTGAACCCATGCGGTCAATTGAACCCGCTGTAAAAACTTGCATTTGTGGTCACAGTGGTGCCTGTGCTAACCTTCCTATGGTGTAGAAATATACCTAGTTGGATGAATCTTATTGTGGCTAGCTGGTCTAGTGGCTAACGCGACGGGCTGGAGTTTTGAGACTCTATGACCGCGGGTTCAATCCCGGCCAGGGGTATGGTTTGGGAGGGACTGATTACTTGAACTCCTCCTCTCCTTATATTGTCCTGCTTTGTATAAGACTGATGAAGCCACTGTGTGGCGAAACGTTTCTTCAGTAAAGATTCCCATATGTTGCATGAGTGTCTTAATTCTTCAACTTGTTGGTTTTCAAAACCATTCATCACAACTAGGCACGTCCTCCACAAACCATTCCACTAACAGAATATTTGCCCAACCAAGTTTTCAGTGCTTTTCAAGCAATAAGCTTTGATAATTCTATTCACTCATGCGCAAGTCCCACTCAAATCAAATTGTGTATGTGAGGAACTACCCTGGCTGGTGTGTTTAGGGAAGTACTCTGACTGGTGTTTTTTTTCTTGAATTCTATTGTGTTTCTCGCCTTCTTTACCAAAGGGCTGACACTAGAAGCTTTCTTTGGGCACATGGTGGCCTATTTAGCAGTTTCAAGCACAAAAAAAAAATGGAATACGATGGACCCTCGTTTTTTGTAATTAATCCGTTCCAGAAAGTGTGACTTTTATCGAAATTGATGATTTGCGAAACCATTTTCCCCATAAGAAATAATATAAATACAGTTAATCCGTTCCAGACACCCAGAAGTATTAAAACAAAATTTTTTTTTACATGAAATATAGATGTACATACACAAAACAATGGGACATGATGAATGAAATATTAACAGCATAACACTTACCCTTATTGGCAATTCTTCTTAATGTATGGAAGACTGGAAGAAGGGAGAGATTGGATTATTTACTGTTTGGAAGGGGAATCCCCTTCCATAAAGACTTAAGGTGCCAAGTGCTTTTCTGAGGTTACTTCTCTTCTTTGTTTTTTAATGCCGCTAGAACCAGCTTGAGAGTCACTGGAGCCTTGTTGCTAAAAAAAACTGTGCAGAGAGCTCTGTTTCTGGCATCTCTTTAACCCCTTTGTAGGTTGCCAGGCCCTCTCAGATACTTGTTCTCAGGGTCATCAAAATTAAAAAAAAAAAAAAATATGTTTTTTCTTATGAAAATATAGAGAATATTTTCCTGATCATAATCACACCAAAAGTATGAAATTTGATGGAAAACTTATGGAATTATGCTCTTGCGAAGTTAGCGGTCTCGACGATGTTTACGCATCGGCGATTTTGCCCAATTTGAGCCCTATTTTCGGCCAATTTCAGTGTACTAGTCACAAAAATCATAACTATTTCGCTAGAACTTCATTTTTTCTATCGAATGAGTACAAGAAGCCACCCATTTACCGATTTCAACTGTCCAATAAAGTGGTCAGAATTTAGCAATTTTGTCAATTTCACACAAATTTCAAAAGATGCCAATTTCCAAATATGGTCCAGAATAAACAAGAAAGACATTCCTGGCACTAAAATAACATTTCCTCTGTTCATTAGTCACATCCCCACGCCCCTCTTACATTTCTTTTGCTTTCCACTTTGAATTTTTATTCTCACCATAAATAGAAGATTTACTGTTATGCAGACTACTGTATTAGTGTAGAAATGGTATAAATAATACCAGCACACTTGTGAAAGAATATTAGATTCACCAGTTGATGTGTATTGGACGCGTGGCATGATTTGTTTACTTTTGAACTTTGGCAAAAATCAAACATTTCTGCTACTTTGAGCTCAGTTTCAAGGTACTTTTCATTGTGAAACCTATCAAAATCATCTCAATTTCTGTAATATGTCTTCCATTCTATAAAATAAGACCAGAAAAACTAGAATACAACCATAAATACCATACAAAAATACAGTGCAAAATCGCTGTTTTAAACAAAAAGCACGGTCAAGGTTTTTTTTTTCTCATTACGCACTGTATACTGCGCACACTAACCACATAGACCCATTCTTTCATATGTAGGCCTACCAGCTTTCTCTTGCTAGATTTGAGGGCGCTAGAATTTATGCCTACTAGTACATCAAAAACCCTGGCGCGTAAGCCGTACTAGTACGGCCGAAACCCCGAAAGGGTTAAAACTTCCCTAAAATGGGCCAAGACTTTGTCACTGTACATGTTGCTAACATGGCTTGCAACAGCTTTGTCAGGGTTATGTTTCTCCATAAATCTTTCCATCCTACTCCACATTTAAAAAAATCTCCTTAATTTCTGAAGAAGGCAACTTCTTCCTCCTCTTAAGCAGTATTCTGAGCTGCGGTCTGTTGCTGTTCCAGCTGAAGCTCTTGCAGCTCGTCAGTGGTTAGCTCTTTGTTGTGGTCCTCCACCAACTCTTCCACATCCTCCAAACTCACATCCAACCCCATGGAACTCCCCAATGCCACAATAGATTCCACAACTGCCCTAGGCTTGTCAATGCCAGCCCCAAACCCTTCAAAATTCCTCTTGTGGACACAATCTGGCCACAGTTTTCTCCAAGCAGAGTTCAAAGTCCTGGTAGTCACTCCCTCCCAAGCCTTACATATAAGGCTTATGCAATGAAGGATACTGAAGTGATCTTTCCAAAACTCTCTTAGGGTCAAGTGAGTGTCTGAGGTCACATTAAAGTACCTTTGAAACATTGCTTTGGTGTAGAGTTTTTTAGAGTTTGAAATGATCTGCTGGTCCATTGGGCTGGAGGAGAGGAGTGGTATTAGGAGGCAAGAACTTCACTGTGATGAACCTAAATTCCTCCAGAATTAGGTCATCCAAGTTTTTAGGATGGGCAGGTGCATTGTCCATTAGCAGAAGGCACTTGAGATCCAGTTTATTTTCCAGGAGGTAATTCTTCACACTGGGGCCAAACACTTCATTGAATCACTTGAGGAAAATTTCCTTCGTGACCCATGCCTTATTATTAGCTCTCCAAAACACACACAATTTACTCTTCATAACATTGTTTTTCTTGAACACTCTATAATTTTCAAAATGGTACACTAGTAACGGCTTCACTTTGAAATCCCCGCTAGCATTACTACAAAACATGAGAGTTGGCCTGTCTTTCATAGGCTTGTGTCCTGGCAGTGCCTTTTCCTCCTGAGTAATGTAGGTCCTCTTTGGCATTTTCTTCCAAAAGAGGCCTGTTTCATCACAATTGAACACTTGTTGGGGTTTTAATTGTTCAGTCTGTATGTACTCCTTGAATTCACTTATGAATTTTGTAGCTGCATTTTTGTCAGAACTGGCAGCCTCGCCATGCCTTATCACACTGTGTATGTCACTACGGTTCTTAAATCTCTCAAACCAGCCTTTGCTGGCCTTAAATTCACAAATATCAGTACTCGTTGCAGGCAATTTCTTCACGAGATCGTCATGCAACTGCCTAGCCTTTTCACAAATAAGCGACTGCATAAGACTATCTCCTGCTAATTGTTTCTCACTGATCCACACCAATAATAACTTCTCAACATCTTTGAGTACTGGAGATCTCATTTTTGTTAGCATATTTACCCCCTTTGCAACAACAGTTTTCTTGATTTCCTTTTTCTTGGCCACGATGGAAGCTATGGTTGTATGGAGTTTCTTTTACATCCTGGCCAGTTCTGCCACACGTATGCCATTTTCATATTGTTCAATGATGTTTTTCTTGAATTCAGTCGGATTTCTCGCCTTCTTTACCAAAGGCATGGCACTAGGAGCTTTCTTTGGAGCCATGGTAGCTTATTTAGCAGTTGCAGACACTAAATGAATGGAATATTATGAAATATTTTGTATGAACACATGAGGGGATGGGCATTCATTGGTAAACACTGGCACACTGGCTGGGAATGGAGCGTGAGGTGGCTTGGGGCCGTGAGTACATGTCCAAGACAAACGACTATTTGCAAGTCAATGTTTTGACAAAAAAATGTTATGATTTCCGAAAATTACGACTTTTGAGCCTTACAAAAGAGGGTCCACTGTATTACGAAATGTATCATATGAATACATGGGGTGATGGTCATTTGCCAGTAAACAATGTCACACTGACTGGGAATGGTGTGTGGGGTGCCTTTGTGTGGCGCGGACACTGGGAGGCCACTCATATGTGTTCTGGACAACCGACGATTGGCGAGGAAAATTACGAACTGCGAGGCTATATTTTGATGGAAAAAGTTGCCAGAAGGTGAAATTTACGAAGCACAAGGCTTACAAAACTCGAGGGTCCACTGTATTAATCAAAATGGGAGCAATAGCTGATGTGTAAATTGCAGCAAGACCTCTAACTTTACACCTGTGTAATTCCACAAGTTTTCCATCAACTTTCATACTTTTGGTGTCATTACCTTGAAAGGAAAAGATTCACCACCATTTCAGAAGAAAAAAAAAAAATGGATACTGAGAGCAGTATTAATTTTGGGGGTCTGGATAGTGAAAGAGTTAAAAGTCAGAAAGATGCAATGTATAATTAGATGTTGCACTGCATACTAATGAAGTGAAGTTCTCCCTTTGTAACACACATACAGTATAGTACTATATCTACAATATTAGAGAATTCTTGAATGTAGTATTACCTATATACATATAATGTTACACTGTTGCATCTATTAGGGTAAGTTGTAAGCAAGCTAGCATAAAGAATGCAATATCTGAGGCATAGCATTCTAATAAATATAATATTAATGAGGCATAACTTTGTGCAGCTTTATTGCATGCATGCAAAGCATCCATGAAAATGTAGAAATAATTGAAAGTTAGATATACTAAATGAATATGTACATAAAAATTGGGTGACACTCCAGCTCTGGCCTCCCTCTTGGTCCTGCTTTCGCGAGGGCTCTCTCAGGGTCTGCCTCAAGGGGGGTCTTCTCCACTGCTGTGTCCTGATAACCCCATTGTATGTCTTCCATCACTCACTCGGATACCAGGTCTTACAGGTTCTGTATATGGTTGGTAAACTTGGTAGCCAGAGTGATTTGAGTAATCCAGTGGTTCTGGGTGATATATATAATAATAATCTTTTTGAGTGCTCTTTACTTTCTGCAGTTTAGGAGATTTTGCATGAACAAATAAATTTTCTGCATGTGATTGATACATGAGCTAATACCTACTGAAATTGTTTAAATGTACATGTATGTAAGACTGTGTGTATAAGTTTTTAACTTACTGATTACAGGTGTTTTAGTTACTTTATTACCATTTTGCTTTTGCTTAAATCCTGCCACTTGACATGAAGCATTTGATTGAATTCACCTGAGTTTTGTTAAGTAGTTATAAGTTAATTTTAAGGCTGCCCAAAATTCTCTCCATATCAAGGTTTTTTTAAAGTAGTTTATATGAATTTTCCATATGTCATCTGTTATACTCTACTGTACTTTCCAAAGCTGTCATTTATCACGTGGGGTGGGACATTGAAGAGTGGCTAGCATAGCAAACTGCTCATCAAGTAGTCTCAAGTTTGTCTCTTATAGAGGAGGGCATTTTGTATTTCTTTTTCAATTTAGGCTACTTTTGAGCTATAAACAAAATACCTCTGACTTCTCTTAACCCTTTCGCTGTCATGACTCCCAAAATTAAAAGTACTGACAGTGTTGAAATTCAAAAAATATATCCTCTGAAATAGTACTGAATCTTTTTCTGAAGTTAAAGACACCAAAAATGTGAAATTTGATGAAAATCTTAAGGAATATGTATGTGTAAAGTTGGCAGTTTGGGTGCAATTTATGCATTGACCCAATTCCTAGATATTTCATTAGTATGCCTTCCATTCTGTTGATTAAGTGTGAGAAACTGCCCATTCAACTGTAAGAACTACCCTATAAAGTGCACAGAAATTTACAGTTTGCCCAATTTTAAACTTAAATTTACAGAATCTAAAATAAATACTGTAGGCATTCTAGCCACTAAAGCAACCCTCTTTCTATTCATTAATCACGTCTCCAGGTCTCTCTTGTAATAACACTTGCCCTCCATTTTGAATTCATTATCACACACAAAAAAAAATCAGTTTTATCCTATTTCTTTAATAAGAATATATAACCGAGAATGATTGGTCATGACTTAGGCCTTACCAATAATTGAAGCAGACCTAGTAAAAACCCATACAGCAGGGGAAGGAAGAAGGCTCTCAAGAAAATGATTAAAAATGAAATATTTCTGCCTCTTTGAGACCTATTTCAAGCTAATTCCTGTTTGAACCCTACCCAGTATGTCTTTGATTCTGTGAAGTGATACAAAGAAGCAGCCAGTAAAATTATAAAAACCACCCTAGAAGACACCTCAGAGTTGCTGTTTTACACCAAACACAAGGGCAGAGATTTGATATTCCCATCATACACTGTGTGGGGCAGGATTTTTTTTTTATGCTGCATGGATCCCTTCTTTCATGTCTAAGCCAAAATTTTCCACACAGACAGCATATTTGAGGGCACTGTGCATAGGATCTAGATCTGTACTAACAACACTGGCATCAGCAACGTAGATCTATTATTTATTATCACACTGGCCGATTCCCACCAAGGCAGGGTGGCCCGAAAAAGAAAAACTTTCACCATCATTCACTCCATCACTGTCTTGCCAGAAGGGTGCTTTACACTACAGTTTTTAAACTGCAACATTAACACCCCTCCTTCAGAGTGCAGGCACTGTACTTCCCATCTCCAGGACTCAAGTCCGGCCTGCCGGTTTCCCTGAACCCCTTCATAAATGTTACTTTGCTCACACTCCAACAGCACGTCAAGTATTAAAAATCATTTGTCTCCATTCACTCCTATCAAACACGCTCACGCATGCCTGCTGGAAATCCAAGCCCCTCGCACACAAAACCTCCTTTACCCCCTCCCTCCAACCTTTCCTAGGCCGACCCCTACCCCGCCTTCCTTCCACTACAGACTGATACACTCTTGAAGTCATTCTGTTTCGCTCCATTCTCTCTACATGTCCGAACCACCTCAACAACCCTTCCTCAGCCCTCTGGACAACAGTTTTGGTAATCCCGCACCTCCTCCTAACTCCCAAACTACGAATTCTCTGCATTATATTCACACCACACATTGCCCTCAGACATGACATCTCCACTGCCTCCAGCCTTCTCCTCGCTGCAACATTCATCACCCATGCATCACACCCATATAAGAGCGTTGGTAAAACTATACTCTCATACATTTCCCTCTTTGCCTCCAAGGACAAAGTTCTTTGTCTCCACAGACTCCTAAGTGCACCACTCACTCTTTTCCCCTCATCAATTCTATGATTCACCTCATCTTTCATAGACCCATCCGCTGACACGTCCACTCCCAAATATCTGAATACATTCACCTCCTCCATACTCTCTCCCTCCAATCTGATATTCAATCTTTCATCACCTAATCTTTTTGTTATCCTCATAACCTTACTCTTTCCTGTATTCACCTTTAATTTTCTTCTTTTGCACACCCTACCAAATTCATCCACCAATCTCTGCAACTTCTCTTCAGAATCTCCCAAGAGCACAGTGTCATCAGCAAAGAGCAGCTGTGACAACTCCCACTTTGTGTGTGATTCTTTATCTTTTAACTCCACGCCTCTTGCCAAGACCCTCGCATTTACTTCTCTTACAACCCCATCTATAAATATATTAAACAACCACGGTGACATCACACATCCTTGTCTAAGGCCTACTTTTACTGGGAAATAATTTCCCTCTTTCCTACATACTCTAACTTGAGCCTCACTATCCTCATAAAAACTCTTCACTGCTTTCAGTAACCTACCTCCTACACCATACACTTGCAACATCTGCCACATTGCCCCCCTATCCACCCTGTCATACGCCTTTTCCAAATCCATAAATGCCACAAAGACCTCTTTAGCCTTATCTAAATACTGTTCACTTATATGTTTCACTGTAAACACCTGGTCCACACATCCCCTACCTTTCCTAAAGTCTCCTTGTTCATCTGCTATCCTATTCTCCATCTTACTCTTAATTCTTTCAATAATAACTCTACCATACACTTTACCAGGTATACTCAGCAGACTTATCCCCCTATAATTTTTGCACTCTCTTTTATCCCCTTTGCCTTTATACAAAGGAACTATGCATGCTCTCTGCCAATCCCTAGGTACCTTACCCTCTTCCATACATTTATTAAATAATTGCACCAACCACTCCAAAACTATATCCCCACCTGCTTTTAACATTTCTATCTTTATCCCATCAATCCCGGCTGCCTTACCCCCTTTCATTTTACCTACTGCCTCACGAACTTCCCCCACACTCACAACTGGCTCTTCCTCACTCCTACAAGATGTTATTCCTCCTTGTCCTATACACGAAATCACAGCTTCCCTATCTTCATCAACATTTAACAATTCCTAAAATATTCCCTCCATCTTCCCAATACCTCTAACTCTCCATTTAATAACTCTCCTCTCCTATTTTTAACTGACAAATCCATTTGTTCTCTAGGCTTTCTTAACTTGTTAATCTCACTCCAAAACTTTTTCTTATTTTCAACAAAATTTGTTGATAACATCTCACCCACTCTCTCATTTGCTCTCTTTTTAAATTGCTTCACCACTCTCTTAACCTCTCTCTTTTTCTCCATATACTCTTCCCTCCTTGCATCACTTCTACTTTGTAAAAACTTCTCATATGCTAACTTTTTCTCCCTTACTACTCTCTTTACATCATCATTCCACCAATCGCTCCTCTTCCCTCCCGCACCCACTTTCCTGTAGCCACAAACTTCTGCTGAACACTCTAACACTACATTTTAAACCTACCCCATACCTCTTCGACCCCATTGCCTATGCTCTCATTAGCCCATCTATCCTCCAATAGCTGTTTATATCTTACCCTAACTGCCTCCTCTTTTAGTTTATAAACCTTCACCTCTCTCTTCCCTGATGCTTCTATTCTCCTTGTATCCCATCTACCTTTTACTCTCAGTGTAGCTACAACTAGAAAGTGATCTGATATATCTGTGGCCCCTCTATAAACATGTACATCCTGAAGTCTACTCAACAGTCTTTTATCTACCAATACATAATCCAACAAACTACTGTCATTTTGCCCTACATCATATCTTGTATACTTATTTATCCTCTTTTTCTTAAAATATGTATTACCTATAACTAAACCCCTTTCTATACAAAGTTCAATCAAAGGGCTCCCATTATCATTTACACCTGGCACCCCAAACTTACCTACCACTCCCTCTCTAAAAGTTTCTCCTACTTTAGCATTCAGGTCCCCCTACCACAATTACTCTCTCACTTGGTTCAGAGGCTCCTATACATTCACTTAACATCTCCCAAAATCTCTCTCTCTCCTCTACATTCCTCTCTTCTCCAGGTGCATACATGCTTATTATGACCCACTTTTGCATCCAACCTTTACTTTAATCCACATAATTCTTGAATTTACACATTCATATTCTCTTTTCTCCTTCCATAACTGATCATTTAACATTACTGCTACCCTTCCTTTGCTCTAACTCTCTCAGATACTCCAGATTTAATCCCATTTATTTCCTCCCACTGAAACTCCCCTACCCCCTTCAGCTTTGTTTCGCTTAGGGCCAGGACATCCAACTTCTTTTCATTCATAACATCAGCAATCATCTGTTTCTTGTCATCCGCACTACATCCACGCACATTTAAGCATCCCAGTTTTATAAAGTTTTTTCTTCTTCTCTTTTTTAGTAAATGTCTACAGGAGAAGGGGTTACTAGCCCATTGCTCCCGGCATTTTAGTCGCCTCATACGACACGCATGGCTTACGGAGGAAAGATTCTTTTCCACTTCCCCATGGACAATAGAAGAAATAAAGAAGAACAAGAGCTATTTAGAAAAAGGAGAAAAACCTAGATGTATGTATATATATATGCATGTGCATGTCTGTGAAGTGTGACCAAAGTGTAAGTAGGAGTAGCAAGATATCCCTGTTATCTAG